AAGGGAGAAGAGAGGAAAGGAGAGAAGGGGAGGGAAAGGGAGGGGAGGGGAGGGGCAACACCAGCCCAGAGAAGACTGGAGAAGTGTCAGACCACAGGCCTGAGGTCTGTGAAAGAAAACACAGGCCTGGCAGTGACTCCTGCATCACCCCTAACCCCCACCTGAAGATCTGCAGAGGAAAAGGTGCCCTGGAAGTCTCATTCTGGAAACTGGAAGCTGGATTGAGGAAGTCCAGAAGGGCATCTGAAAAGACCCCTCAAGCTGCTGAGAGACTTAGGCTCAGTTGGCCACCTGGGACCCATAGGTGGCACCTTAACTTCCCAGGGACTGTCTGTGGCCAGCAAGGAAGGAGACACAAGTCAGAGAGAGGACAAAGGTGGATGCTGGTTCTAAATCTCTAGGCAGTGACTTCATCCCACCAGCTCTGCTTGTTTTCTCTTTGTTCTCTGCTACCCTGAGCAGTGATCGCCAGACTCCTTGCCTAGACTGGTGAGTGTGAAAGCCACCGCCTCCAAGAAGGCCACGTCTAAAAAACTGAATCTCCACTTTGGTGACACCTGTAGACCTGAGGACACAGAACAAGCACCTGCCAGATCTTCTGCTGGAAGCCACCTCCTTGTCTTGAAAGTATACGAAGTCCATGGAAGCCTCTGTGTCCAAGGAATTGTGCCTGAATCACCCAGCATCAGTATCCCTCATCACCACCTCTGTGTGCCCTCTGGGTCCCCAGAAGCTCCAGGAAGAAAGTACAGCACCCTCTGTTGGCGTCACCCTGGACACACACACAGAATCCCTCCCAGCAGCCGTCCAGGCAGGCCACGGCAGGCCCTGCGATCGCCAGGGCCATGGAGAAGGAAAGCTCAGGATACTGTGAGGCTCCAGAGAAGCTGGGCCTCTCCTTCTCCATTGAGGCAATCCTGAAGAGGCCCACAGAGAGAAGAAATTTACCCAGACCACAGAGTGGAGGGGGAGAGGACTGCAGGCAGACAACTACCCCGCGTTCCAAGCTGGAGAGGCCCTCACAGGATCAGCCCCAAGGTAAGTGATTCCTGGTCATTTTCTTTTGTTCTCTGGGGAGGCTCAAATAGTCCCTGTAAATAAAATAGGGGGCTGTGACATCCAAAGGGATAGTGGGTTCTACGCCACTGCTTTTTAAGCCTTTCAGTCTAATGCAGAACTGTGGTATTCGGAGTGCAGAAGCACATAGGCCATTCCGAAATGCAGGGACCTGGAGCTTATTCTCATGACCAGGCTATGGCTAAAAATTGTCAGTCCCATTTGCCCGGCACTGATAGGTGCTAGGCACTATCCTTTCATTTGGGGAAAAAAATTATGATAACTAGACTAATACGAAAAGAAGTGGACAAAGTTGCCAAGTACAAACCTATAAGTCTCAATCTGAACTCAGGGCCTGGAATCCCAAACCCTTGCTTCTAGCCCTTTCTCTCCATGAGCTGAGCTCTGCTTGCATGGCTTCAACTAGCTGAAGCTTTGCCAGGGTCTGTCCTCAGATTCCCTATATCCAAGTCTGGAGTTACCCAAGGGCATGCACCTAAATAAGGCTCTCCTTCAAGCCAGCACTGGATACCCCTAACTATGGGAGCTGAGGAGCGGGAATTCTCTGCCCTACCTTAGCCTGCCGTTGTTGACTGTAGAAGAGCCCCCGTCATCTCTGATCTCAGCTTCACCCTGTGAACAGCTCAGGGAATGGGAGTTTTAGGGGGTGCTTATGAAATCTCAAGGGCCATTTGGTCAGGAGTCTAAGCCGCGGAGTGTCACACACCAGGCCCGGGTCTTCCCTTTCTCACCCCTTTTATCTAGGAAAATGCTGGGTAGAAATCTCAGGGGAGCCCTCCCCCCAGCCAGGCTCCCACAGAGGTTCCTTACAGAGGCTGTGCTCAGCTACAGGCAAGAGGAAGACCCAGGAGTGATGGTAATGCCAGCAGGAGGGAAGCTGTCTGGTTCCCTAATAGAAAAGGGCCTTGAGCTCAGCTTTCAGAAATTCACTGGTGTCCTCCAGTCAACTGAGGATTTCCAGAAGCCAGTTCATTAGGGGCTCTAACCTGATTCTCTCCTGCTGCAGCTATATAAATGAATACTACCCTCTCTATCACAATAAGAGAATGTGGTGCCCCTGATCCTGGTAGTCTTTCTAGGACTCCACTGACAATCCTACCATGTTTAATGTGTATGTTTCTGCTAAGCTCAGAACAGACACCAGAAAGGGCTGGACAAAATACAGCCACAGCATTAAAGGTGCCCATGGTTCTCACAGCACTTGTTCTATCTCTTGGTCAAATATGTGAGCCCCACTTTGGAATGAAAACCCTAAAAAGGAGATAAATCACCCACAAAAACCACATGAGCACTTACAACTATCACTGAAGCCTGGAGGCCTAAGGCCATGGGTGGAAAGTTATTTCTGGCCATAATTTAAATCTATATGACCCTCCTGCTAGAATTTAGCTTTCCCAACCCTTGGGGCAGATCCCGTTGGTACATTATGACTTTAGGGACTCTCCAATGAAAAGCCACTAGGTCAATAGTTCTGTAGTTACTACCACCCCTAACTTCCTATGGTATCAAAGGGTACTAGTTAACCAGTAGTGGTCAGGATAGAAAGATTTCTTTTCAAATGGGTATATTTGCGCAAAACAAAAAGTAAAGATGAGTAATGCTGAAGCAAACACTAGTGCGGACAGGATGCCAATATGGCAGCAAGTACAAAGGTAACCTGGGGAAGGTTGTGGGATGCGCTGTGTACAGGGGAGGGACTCAAGAAAACTGACCTCTTTTTCAGTTATGGCAAGATAACTGAAAAAGATATGGCACTGATGCTCAGGAAGACCTTCAGCAAATCACTTCCCCATCTGGGCCTCAGTTTCCTCAAAGGTCACATGAAGCAGCAGAGCTAGGTCTCCATAAAGTTCTTCTAGCTCTGACATGCCTTGACTGAGTCAACAATAAACTAGTTGTTGGAAAACCCCAGAGGAATCCTTGGCGGTCATTTTTCTTAGCAGAGACTTCTTCCCTGCAGGATGTTGAGCCACAATGCCACGTGGGAAGGGAGCAAGGTGGCCAAGAGGCAGACCCTGTCAACCACCCTTGCCCCTCCCTGACACCTGAGGAGCCTCAAGTGTAACTCCAGATGTATTGCTATTTGCCAGTGCCCTTGAACTCCTTGTGTTCTGTCCCTCCTCCAGGAGAGAACCCTCCAAGTAGGAAAACACCCAAGAAGAGCAGCAAAAGGACAGGTTCCTCACTGTCCTCAGTGAGGGTTTGAATCTGAAATCTTTCCAATAGGCTGATGTTTTGAATGCTTGTTTCCCAGCTGTGACACTATTTTGAGAAAGTAGAGGACCTTCAGGAGATGAGGGCTAGCTGTGTCACTAGGAGTGGGTCCTCTTCCCTAAGTTTCTCTCTCATTCTGTACCTTATCTATAATGATATGAAAAGCCCCCCAATGTCACATACCCTGGGCTGCTCTTCCATCCCTCCCCTGCCATGGTGGACTACAGATCACTGAAACTAGAAACCAGATGAATTTTTTTCATTCTTAGTTTTTCCTATCATGTTTTATAGTTACAGCTTCACAAAAGTAACTAATCTAGCCCCTGCCACTGGAATCATGTAAGGAGCTTACACTGACTGTGACATTTCAGATGCCATGGCCATGATGGCGACACTGGCTCAGGGGGCAAGACCTCAAATCTGTACTCTAGGAAACCCCAGATGGACCTGGGGTGCAGGGCATTCTCTGAGGAAGCTGGGGCTTAGAGAGGTGAAGGGGGGTGTTCAAATCTAAAGTTCATCAAGAGCCAGAACCAGGCCTATCATTCAGGCTCTCAGACCAAGCAGAGGTGCTGTCCGCCTTAAATTTCTCAACAAGGAGAAATAAAGTTCATTCCCCATCTTCTCACTCTTGAGGGGACTTTCATGACCCTCTCAGATCTCAATTCAGTAGAAACATCTAAGCCTGTCTTTGTTAAAGAATGTTGGGCCTAACTGCCCATTTACTCCTCTAGCCCCTGGAAACACAGGGACCTTCCAAAGTCAAGGGACAGCCAATCCAAAAGAAGCCTCTCTCAACATTGGAAGTTCAGAGCATGAAAATGAAAAAGTCATCTCTGCCTATCCCACTGGTGAACCTCTGACATCATAAACCCAGGGGGGAAGGGGGTGAGGGTAAGGGGGAACCACAGCAGAGACTCGTCAGTGGGGTAGGCCTCTGTGGACTGCCTAGCCTCTAAGAAATCCTCTTACATTCCTCCCCCTGCTCATGAAGCTGTTTGACAGCCTCAGTGAAGAAATGCTAAGTGTATCCTGGGCAGGAAGGCAATGAAAGAGATGAAGGTGAATAAAACCAGAGGCAATGACTGCCCACGTATAACAGCCTGTGGTCAAAAACCAAGAAAGTTCTTGCCAATTCACCATGGAGCAGTGCCAACACAAGCAGTGCCCAGCTTGTCTGATGAAGCTGGCTAGGGGCAGAGTGGCATTCTGGGTGTCTGAGAAACAGTGAGGGTCAGCAAGATTGTTTCCTGCAAAAAATAACACTATAACTCTAAGCTTTGACGGTGATTTCTGTCACAGTTAACTCTACCATGGAGATTGAAAGTACCTATAGACAATATGGAAAGCTTAGGAATGTTTGTGTTCTAATGAAACTTTATTTGTAGAAAGCAGACAGTAGGCTCTTTGGTCCTTACATTATTACTGGGATACTCAAGGTCCCACATACTTGCCCCACTTGATTCTGCACCATCTCCCATTACTCTCTCAGGCCCGTTCTTTCCACCCACAACATATGCGCCTCTAACCTTCTCCTCCCTTCAAATGTCTCACGTCTTCACTCTTTGAAACCCGTGCCCCCTCCCATGGTCCTTTTTCTTTCTTCTTCCCCTTCCTCTGGTTAGTTTCCATGGCTGTTGTAACAAGCCACCACAGTATAAATCTCTTCAGAACAATAATATGTAGTCTCTCCTCATTCCAGAGGACAAAGGTTTGAAATGCAGGCATAGGCAAGTTAGTTTCTTTTAGAAACTACAAGAAAACTCCCATCCATGCCTCCCTTTCTCCCATCTGCTTGTGGTCCTGACAGCCTGTGTCCCCCTTTACAGGAGTCCTCCCCCCCCTTCTGATTGGGGTTTGTTGTCCCTCCTCTTCTGAAGGACTCCAGTCCCTGGATTTATGCCCACCCTAACTCCAGTATGACCGAATCCTGAGAGCCTTAATTATATCTACAGGGACTGTACCCAAATAAAGCTTCATCCACTGTTCTGAAGAGTCTAAACTGACACATATTTTTGGGAGCACTATCCCACCAAATCACAGGTTTCTCACTTTTGGCCCCTTTTATTTTACTCTTCTTTTTTTCTTTTCTCTTCCTTTCCTTTCCTTCTCTTCTCCCTTCTCTTTCCTTTTAATATTAGCCTTCACTTTCTCCTCTGAATTTCCTGGACTCAAAGACAGATGTTTTTCCCCTGACATCTGGAGTTGGAGCCTATGACCAAGGAGCACAGTGTCCCTCATGACTTTATGATTATTGGCTTTGTCTGACTGACAAGTGGACCCAGGGTCTACCATCAAAGTCGACAGGAAGGACAGGAAGATTCTATACTTGTCACTTTATATATCTGTGACAGAATGCCTGGCATAAACAGTTTATAGGAAGAAAGATTCACGTGGGCTCACAGTTTTAGAGAATTTGATCCATGGTTGCTAGTCCCCATGCTCTTGGGTATAACGCCGTGATAGTGGGAGTGTGGAGTGAGGCAGTACTCACCACATGGGAGGAAGCAGAGAAAGAGTAGGGATTTAGAACCCTGTATACTCTTCAAAGGCGTCAAATGCCAGTGACCTACGTCCTCTCCCCACCTCTAAAAGCTACCACAACTTCTCAAAGTAACCTGGAGAAGTAGGGACCAACTGTTCAAAGCATACACGAACACATTCAAACTGTAGTAAATGGATGCCGGTACTTCTGCCAAAGGTTTTGTCTGCCTCCTCTGGATCCCATGGATCTCACCTCTACACCC